ATTTCAAATACGGTTCAACTTCTTAATTTCATCAACAGCTTGCCATTGTGCCTCCCGCAATACAGTTGCCAGAAGCCAGGGTAGGTGGATTGCTTTTTATTGGGTGGGATCACTAGATGAATATCAATGTGACATTCTCACAGATAGACCTGTGTTTTTTATGAATTAGCAGGTGGTTTGGCCAGTCAAGTAGAGGTAGATGCAATTCATCCTTAATTTCACGTCAGTGTTTTGCATTTAGTATGCCTGCCAAAGTGGAATAATGTGTTTTGACCAATTTTGACGAAATATGTACACGTGATAAGCTGTTTTTTTGTATTCATATGTTTAACTGGATAATCCCTTGAGACGGAACATCTCATTTGCAAGGTAATTCTTACCTATTTTTAAAAATGACATCAATAATCTGATGCATTGGATTAGTACCTCTGAATGAATCCTCTCTCTCTGAACAAATTCAGAGCAATTTTTTTTTGCAAAATGCTGCACGGTTAATTTTGCTCCCCAATATTGCACGATACACTTTTACACTTGTATACTTTATCTATTTACGTATTTATTTAAGCGATTCCCTTACCTTTCCTATACTTTGCACTCCAATCGTGTTTTGTTGTTGTGCTGGACTACTGGGCATCTGTGAAAAATAGCCTCATAGCTCATCGGATTTCTTGAGGATAAACACAGATTCTGATTCTGTGTCCGACTGTCAAACACACGTATGTAGATACACCCGTGTGCAGTTGTACATCAACACCGAATGATTTAACCCGTCAGTATCTGATGTAGTACAAAAATGTGGTACTCACTGCGACTGCGTTCGCCACCCGGTTTAATTAATGAGTCCCACGCACCATTTATCCACGGCGTGAACTACGTCGCCATTCGCGGTATAATTACGCAGCAGTTTCATGAGCCAATTGCAATACATTTCACTCTCAAGACAGTTGCTGATCACAGATTCTGGGTGACCTACAAAGAAGGTAATTAAACAACCGCTCTGGCCGTTTGCCCCAGGAATGTGTGTCACGTTATCCCATTAAATTTTCTCTCCGCTTCAAGGCACAGTGTTTTCGAGTCCCCTGTGCACTTTGTGTGTGCACAGTGATTTAGCGTACTGGCAACTCACCGCACGTTTGTCCACTGCAGCCGGAATACAACTGCGTTCACTGGGGGGCTGGAGGCAGCATCGAGAGCTGAAACCTACGAATGTAAAATGGTAAAGGTGCAGCGATTGCTTGCAAACTCCACTTGCTGGCAAAAGGGCCTCCGCTAGACAGAGCTCTGGTGCTCTTCACTCATTTTCAGAGGGCGGCCACTTTCGCCGATAAAAAAAATCATCGGTGCGAGGGCCGCCGCACCGCCTGCAAGGGGTGTTTTCACATTTGTGGATTGCCGTGGGCCGCACTAAAAACCGACCAGGGGCCGCCAGTGGCCCGCGGGCCTTGCAACGAAGAACACTGCCCTCGGAAGTTCCTCTAAGTGCGGTATTTGCGGCCAGACATTTAGGAAGAGATGGGAGTACCCACACCTTTACCCCTCTGCAAGTGACCCGCCAATTGAACAACTGTCGTGAACCCATTTATACCGCTCGCTGCACAGAGGTGGAGGGGATTAAACGAACATCCGCCGCATCAACTGCCGTGCCGGGAGATGGAATCGAGCCGCCGACCTCTTGATTGCACGTCCAGTCTGTCAACCATTCCCTACGACGGCATACAAAGCCCTTCTTTAATAGTCGAGCCGGCATGGACGAGTAGGCGTTCTCTGGATTCCCCTCTAGCAGTGTAGCAGTGTGGTATGAGCTGGTTATTTGAGGGCTGCACCTTTATAATAATGCAATAAACAAGGAGAAATGGGTGAATGTGAGCTTTGTAAGGATGTGATCTATTGCTGCAGATTTTAAAGGGGAGTTTTCAAAAGACCACCGTAGCATCTTCATATTTGAGGGCAATCTCTGACCGCTACGTGCAAGAACACCTTTCTCTCTGCATTGCATTTTGCAGTGCTATCTTGCATTGTCTCTGTTTCTTTGCTTGGCAGATCCCCTGGTGGCACCACAGAATATCGTTCCAAGGAGCCATCTGCTTCCCGCACCGTATGCTGGTAACCACTCTTAACTTCGTGCATTCAACGCGGTGCAGTAAACGCCACCAATAATCCAGGGATCAATTCGTGTGGGGGCCACTACACCAGGTGACACTAATAGCCACTTTTTCCACTGGCCACGTCCGAGCCGAGCCAGCGCAACGCCCGCACGGTGCGAGTAGATTTCCACTGGCCATTGGCCATGCCGAGCTGGAACCAAACCATGATACGCTGGCCTCACTGGATACCTGAATCTGGCTCGCGGGCCAAGCAGGTGTTAAGATGTTAAAACACCAAACTGAAACCTTTTACAAGGAATCATGTCTGCATTCACCACAATACTTGTGGTCAGAATGCAAACAAAAAACATGAGAATAGGTTTTCCCCTTTTTTCTGGCAACAAAACAGGTCTAACACCGTTTTGAGACTAGGCTCAAAAGAAAGCTGTCTCTGGTGTGGACCAATCAGTTTCAAGGACAATGCATATGTTATCAGAGTATGTTTTTTGTTTGCATTCTGACCACAAGTATTGTGGTTAATGCAGACATGATCCCTTGTAAAAGGTTTTAGTTTGGTGTTTTAACATCTTAACACCTGTTTGATTGCCAGAAAAAAGGGGAAAACCTACTCTCACGGTACTACTATGTGTTTATCTTACTGAAGTATCCATTTGATTTATTAGAACCAGAATAAGCATTTTTTTTTAAACGGCATAATTCATTAATACGTTAAGCAATTCTACTATTCACCAACAGAGTGTTTACTTGCTTAGTCTCAGCCCGAAAAGAGAAATTAAAGGTGACATTTTGACCTAAACTTTTTTGGACAAATAAGCTCGTGATTTTAGGCGACGAAAGGTTAATGGGATTCCGTTCCTGGTGGAGAATTAAAGCAACGAACCTGCAGTTGAGCTTGAAAGTGATCTTACCCATAATACACTGACAATTGAGATGCACGGCAGAGTAAGGTATGCACGCCAGCCAAGTGGAATGTTTTCATGACATTTGTCTTCGGTGATTTCAAGTACATACGAGTATGTCATTTACCAATTTCACAGTGGTAAACGTAATGTTTTCGAGATTTAATTTACGACTGCGGTAAGCGCATACATGTTAAATAATGTAACGTTGAATAAAAAAACAAATCTGATTGTGGCATTGTAATATTTCGCTTTTGGAAACCAAATCGTAGTTCCCGTACGATACCCCGGCGTTATGTTGCTATGTACTGTATGCAAGCAATACAAATATATAATGCATTGTTTTTCCTACCTATGCCGTCATTTTTATTTTATGCAACGGATGAACTCCAAAAAATAGCTCGGATAATACGATGATTTTTCGATAACTTACGGAGAAAATAATTGGATTATAAATAGAAAAAAAAGTGCCTCTTTAGTGTCACGACTTTTCGATGCCATTATCAAACTGAAAGCAATTAAATCGAATCCAAGGAGCGGCATTGTAAATGTGCACTATAATTAATAAAGCACGCGCTTCGACTTTGGAAAACTCACGACTTCAAACAAAAAAAGGGTATCATAAAATTACATAATCAGGTAGGGACGAAGAGTGAAAATGGGTCTCGGGGAGAGAGGAAAAATTCTTGCTATGTCCTCGCTTTTCTGATGGGGAAGGAGTGTCAGCTACTGTAGGTGGGATAATCGTATTATTCAAACAAATGAACACTGACTGATGTATGCTTACTGTGCTTGGAATTTATGTGACTTGACAGGCTTGGAGGCTCTAAAATTATTTTGCATGACAATGTCGAAACCCCTGAGAGAAGTCATGCAAAGAAGCAGTTCTGGAATAATTGGCGAGAATGGCGCGTGCAGAAGCAGCGTCTGGGTGCTCGCACAGCCACGTCTAGTTACAGAATCTCGCATCGCCCACTGCACGTTACACGTGTCAGTGCATACACATTGGCTTGCGGCAGTTTCATTCAAGTGGGGGGGGGGGGGGGGGGGGGGGGGGGGGCAAACCTCATTGGCGCCACACTGCAATGGGACTTCCTTGCCTGGCAAGCATTTAAGGGAAAGATCCACTATATATGCAGGCTTGCCGTGAATAAGAGTAAAAACCAAGGCACATGGACATACAACAGACGTTGCATTATTTTAAAATGTCAGTGTGGTTATATTTGGGAAGTGTTCGCAGTAGTGTGGGTGTATCGTGTGTGTCTGTGTGTCAAAGAAAATCTAATTTTATTAGGATTATGCTGTCGGCTTGATGATACAAAATAACTATTCATTTGAAACTCTTGCAGAGCGGTTAGAGAAAACTTGATCAAATAATGGATTCCTAACTCCTTTTTCAAGTGACCCTTTTTTACACTGGACGGCACGCTTTCCCATACGTCCTGCGACAGAAATCGTCGTAAGAAAGTCAAGTATGTATATTATTATTCTTACAGCTGAAAATGCACCATATTAAGTTACATATAAAAATTAGATGTTATTGTTGTCCAGGCACGGGTGACCAGGCTGAGACCATTGAGTAACTATTTATTCATAGGTGGCCAAAGCCCACATTCAAAATCAAGATGAACATATCATCATGGCGAATGCCATTGATATCACCATCTCTTGCCAGTGCTCTCGACCCTCCACCAGATCCCGCATCTGTTGCACAGTACAAACACAACATCCAAAACATTCCCTTGCAGTAATTCCACCATCTGTTCTTTTGGTCTTCCGCTCGCTCGCTGGACTCGTGTCGATGCCTGTCCCAGGAATTGGCCCTCCCCGATCCCGAACGCACGGTCGTTTGTGCCTCGTCCATATCCAGAACGCCGGATTCAAACCCAAGAACCTCAGCGGTTGCCGGCTCCTAGTGTGCACATCTAAACTCCGTGAGTCGAAGCAGGAATTTGGTTCTGGGGGGGGGGGCGGGGGTGGTGGTTATGACACAACGCCTTTCGGAGCCTCGTGCTTGATTTATTTTTGGCTGCGATGAGCTGTGAGAGGAAGGAGCTCGGGGGAGAGGCGATTAATGGGAAATGTTTTGCCCGGCGGCACAAGAGGACCTAGATTCGTGGCACAAATAGTAAACTTCACTTTAATTGTGCAATATAGAAGACATTTAGAATTTACTTCAGCCAAGAATATTTAGTTTTGGACGCGCAGGCATAGTAGGCCTCGAAAACTCACAAATGTTTGGCTTCGCAAGGGTGTTTAGTATTTAAAATTGTTGCATTTCACAATTGTTTTCATGTGTACGCATGTCGCGTGTGTTGATGCAATCACTGTACGTGTAAGCAAACCTCTGCGCACCGTTCCTGCGTGCATCTATGCCGCTTCCTTCAGTCACACCTGTAACGCATAAACACTCGATGCAATTTACATTTTTTTGCACAACTAATTTGCCGGAAGACAGTAATGGTGTCATTTCTTAAAACAATCACGGCAGAGGCTGAATTATTCCTCCGATTGCAAATGTGCATTTAGTATTAATCCAAATAGTTATTGCGAGCACGCACGCACGTACGTGCGCCCACACGGTTCCCAGCGTTGGGAGGAATTTTCTGTATTGGTCTAATAGCCCTCACAAATAACAGACTCTGTCCCATAAGTATGGTGTGCACCACGGCATAAGACAAACTGCCATTATTATTGGTAAGCTGCGAGCCTCCAGAGTGTGATTTCCCTGTTTTAGATGGATTTCAGGTATTCTGGCTTGTCACAGGTGGCCCTAGAGAGCCAATTAATGCGAAAAATGGGAATATTTTGGCCACTCGTTAGTAGTAAATCATAGGCCGTTGACTCTGCATTGGCTTAACAAATTGAAAATATAAAACTGTGGACCAAGCCAGGGTTTATGCTTTTTTAGCCCCAAACATGCTTGTGCCATTACAGATTACAGTTTAATCCTGTCAAATAATAACGATTGTAAATAGTGTGCTTTTAATGCTATTCATAAGAAACAAGTGCCAAACGGTAACACGTGCAAATGTGCACTACATTATACAAAAACAAAGACAAAGATTTCCCCCCCCCCCCTCGTGTGTGGCCTACACAGGCTGTTGTTGGGGCAAGTGCTGTTACAGCGAGCCACTTACAAAGGCCGGAATTGTACACAAGGATGTGGTGTGGAGATCATGCCCGGCTGCCTTTGTCTTCCCAGTTTTGATGTTCACACACACTCCGCGCCTCCGACGAGCACGGTTGGCTGCGTACGGTGCGAAAGAAGTGCAATATACGTACACACATACATACCGCATCGGGTTAGCTTTTAGGCAAAATTGAAATCAATTGATTTGTTTAAAAGCCTAAACATTTTGAAACAATACTTTAATAATAATGTTAACATTTCCCAACTTGATTTGAGTCCCAGTTATTTCTTAACAAATGAGAGCATTACCCTCAAATGGTCTCATACCCGGTTTAAATATAGGACACAGAATCGATAATCTCATTCGACATAATGACTTTATACGTTTGGCGCTATTATCATAATTATCATTGTTACGTAAATCAATCGATACCAGTTTCACCGTGAGGTTTTTGCAGCCCCATATATATATTTTTTCATATATACGAACCAATGCCAGCAATTCACCCCGAAATTGATATTATGCTCAAAAGAGCTCATTTGACAGACAGGTGGAGTAACAGCTGGTGATGAATGACCACATTTCGCATCTCCCCATTGCTTTTTGGCATTTGAAAAAAAAACCAACAATGCTCCTCTTTCTGCACCACCCACTTCGCCTCCCCATCCAGATTGGCAGGAATACGGAGCCAGTCGATTTTTGGCGGGGGGTTTGTTTTTCTGCGCCCGCGCGCGAACCGATGTTTCTTCCGCGTACCCCACGCTCCACACGGCTGCTCGCTCACGGACACCTCCGTTGGGCAGGATGTGCGGCGCTGTGACGGGACGGCTCGCCCCGCGGTGAGCGCCGCTCTTGGGAGGGCGGCGAGGAGGCGATCGCGCCCGACAGATGGAGGCCATGCGCTGCTCTCGGAAGCGGGTGCGCACGCAGTTCGGAGTGGGCCTCGTCACCTGTGTGCTGTCCACGCTGCTGCTCCTCTTCCTTATCGACGAGGAGCTCTCGGGGTTTGGCGAGGTGAGTGTGACATTCCTGGTTGGGGTTTTTTTTTTTTTTTTCTCTCTTTTCCGTTTGAATATCATCGTTCCCATTGTCACCATCAGCCATGATCTCGGTCCGCTGCTGGATTAAGGCCTCCCCAAGCCATCGCCACTTCTCTGCGGCTCTACGGTATATCAATCGGCCGTGCACCGTCGCGCGAGCCGACGTAATGTTTTGGTGGATGTCCACTCAGAAGTATTTCATTCCTTGGCATGTCATTCTGTCACTGTTCGTTACCATCGGTAGTAATCTCTTGGAGCGATATGTCCTGCCCCCAAGCCTGCTTAGTTTTTATTTTAACCGTCAATGGTTTCTGGTTTGTGTTTGTCCCCTGATCCATGTATGCCTACTTTTTTCTGTCTCTAAATGCAATTCCAAAAATGCAGATTTCCACGCTTTCTTTGCACTACAGTAAAACCTTGGATTGCGAGTAACTTGGCCTGCGAGTGTTTTGCGAGACGAGCAAAAATTTTAAGTAAATATTAATTTGATAAACGAGCGAGGGTCTTGCAATACGAGTAGTACGTATACGCTTTGTCTGCCGAGCGTCACGTGATCACAACTGATATACGAGTGCTTTGATATACGAGTGCTTTGGATTACAAACACGTTTCCGGAACAAATTATGCTCGCAATCCAAGGTTTTACTGTATTAAAAAAATTATCCCAATTGTTCGGTACTGACCATGCTTTTAAACCATGTCATTGCAGTTAAGTACCAACTGATTAAAAACACAAATCATCATTGTCACCGGTTTATTATTTATAAGCGTTATCAGTAATTGGTGCAATCATCTAAATTGCATTCAGCAATACAAATTTCGTTGAGATTTAACCGAATGAAGTACTCAATACCTTTGCATTTGTTGCTAATGCAGTGCATGGCATTCCACAACACGGATGAAACATGTGATCAATCGTACGCAGAAGATGCGACACATTTCAAAGAAGCTCAGTCAACCTGATGATCGTCCTGTCTCATTTGGCTAGGGGCATCAATCGGCCAGTGGCATATGGGAAGGTATGAATGGCTAAAGAAGGTTTTGAAATTGCTTTCGAGTGTAGACATTCTCGTATATATTTTATTCATGAAGGAAAACTATTCTAAAGTTCTGAAGTTGCAACAAAGCATTCTCTCTCCATTTTCTTGAATTGGAAGGAACTTCCAAAAAAGCAAATGTACGTGCAAAATGCGCATAAGTTTTTACCGATAATTTGTCTCTCAATTGATCTGTTATTCAGTTATATGTTTACAACATTCGACTCGACGTTCTAGTGTCATATACCAATTGTCAGCAAAGAAGGGCATTCGTATCGGTTACATTTACGATGCAAAAAAGTGCTAAAGGTCACAAATGTTGTATGATAATGAAACGAATAATAATAATAATAATACAGTATTCTTAGCTCTTTCGGTAAAGTCACGTTGAAGGGAAACAATAAAATAATAAAATATATAAACAATAAAAAAATCTCACGACGTTTCGACCATAACACAAACGGTCGTCATCAGGTGTGTCGGTTCGCATAAATGTATTTATTTATAAACGGTGTATTTATTTATAAAGAACGTCAGCGCCACGCGCAGCGATTTGGCAGTTTATTTAGAAGGACTAGTCCATCTATGTTCTGAAAAGAGGAGGGGGGAGACGAAAAATTAATGTATGCTGTCTGATTGCTAAGCCAGAATCCATCTTCTCGGTTGAAATTGTCTCGATGTTTGTATATGTGGATAGCCTCATGAACGAATCTCTCATGGTAGCCAGATGGCTTACAAAGAACCTCTGTCTTGGAAAAGTCAATGCCATGTGAGCCTACTGAATTATAACAATGATCTGCCACGGCCGAGGTGTTGGTCCTACCGTGTTTAAGGTCTGCTTTGTGTTCACGAATGCGGTCTGAGACATGGCGTTTGGTTTCTCCAATGTAACTACTACCACAGAGGCAACTTAGTTTGTGGACACCAGGGTACTGTATGTCCGGAATCACATCTTTTACAGACGGAACCAGATCACGGAGTTTATGTAATGTGTTGAAACGGACCTGGATCTTATTCAAGATTTTGGAGATCTTTTTTGTGATCCCCGCAATGTAGGGTAAAGTGATGGTTTTGAAAGGCTCCTCAAGAGGGTCCTTCTTCATGGTTTGAGTGATAGCTTTGCAGATTGTATAGTCAGAGTAACCATTAGCCTTAAGAGCTTGGTGTACGTGCTTGAGTTCACTGCCTATGTGTTCCTGGTCGGATATGCATTGGGCTCTATGATACAGAGTCTTGATGAGAGAATTCTTCTGTGACGGATGATGGTGGGAATCCGGTTTCAGATAAGCATCCGTTTGGGTAGCTTTCCTGTAGACAGAGTGGCTCATTGAACCATCAGGTCTCTTTTTAATTAGGACATCCAAAAAAGGTAGCTTGCCATCTTTTTCGACTTCCATGGTAAATCTGATGGCTAATGGTTACTCCGACTATACAATCCGCAAAGCTATCACTCAAACCATGAAGAAGGACCCTCTTGAGGAGCATTTCAAAACCATCACTTTACCATACATTGCGGGGATCACAAAAAAGATCTCCAAAATCTTGAATAAACACAAGATCCAGGTCCGTTTCAACACATTACATAAAATCCGTGATCTGGTTCCGTCTGTAAAAGATGTGATTCCGGACATACAGTACCCTGGTGTCTACAAACTAAGTTGCCTCTGTGGTAGTAGTTACATTGGAGAAACCAAACGCCATGTCTCGGACCGCATTCGTGAACACAAAGCAGACCTTAAACACGGTAGGACCAACACCTCGGCCATGGCAGATCATTGTTATAATTCAGTAGGCTCACATGACATTGACTTTTCCAAGACAGAGGTTCTTTGTAAGCCATCTGGCTACCATGAGAGATTCGTTCATGAGGCTATCCACATATACAAGCATAGAGACAATTTCAACCGAGAAGATGGATTATGGCTTAGCAATCATTGGAAAGATTTGATTAACCATTTCAGGTCTTAATTGATTGTTCATGCTTACAGTGGCTTTCAGGCAGCATACATTAATTTTTCGTCTCCCCCCTCCTCTTTTCAGAACATAGATGGACTAGTCCTTCTAAATAAACTGCCAAATCGCTGCACGTGGCACTGACGTTTTTTATAAATAAATACACCGTTTAAAAATAAATTAATGCAAACCGACACACCTGATGACGACCGTTTGTGTTATGGTCGAAACGTCGTGAGAATTTGTATTGGTTTATATATATTTTATTATTTTATTGCTTCCCTTCAACGTGACTTTACCGAAAGAGCTAAGAATATGAATTACTGCAGTCACGAAAGCTTTAAATCAAAATAATACAGTAATACAATCATAATTTACAGTGCCTTGTCAATCCACTGTTGGATGAAGGCCTCTCCGTGCCGTTTGGGTCAATGGGATTATTTTTTGTGGGTTTTGGTGAAGGGAGGGAGTTAGCCCAGGACTGGTTCGACTTTCACTCACCACTGACATTAAGCCGTGGCAGGGAATCGAATGCAGGTGGGTGGGACCATTAACACATTGCACTAACCACCGCCACCACCACTCCACCAGCAAGTGTTGAATATCTGAAGGATATTTAAATAGTGCGTGCGCTTATATCACAAGTCTAGTAATGATACACTGAGAAATGAATATTAAATTACACGTATAAAATTCACAATTTCATCTTAAATCTAGACTCAATAACATTTATTTTCTGGCTTTGCAAAAGCATAATATTTAAATCACGATGTTTCGATCGCAACACAAGCGATCGTCTTCAGGTGAAACAATACAGCAGGCAGACTGCTGAGGCAGGATGAAATGTCGCGAGAGAGCTTCTGCAGACAAAGGTTATATAGGTTTGAGGTGGGTACAACCCATGGGTAAGTGGGCGGGGCTAGAGATGGCATTTGCAAGTGAATGTAAGATCGCAGAGCTAGGCATGCCTCGGTAATCCGAGGGGGGAGAGGGGAGGGGGATGGGCTGCCCTAACGGGCGAGAGGGTGGGGGTGAAATTCACAGATGGAACAAGGTGAGAGACAAAGAAAAAATATCAAACTTAGCAAAATTTTGAAATGTAATGCAACTCAGAGAGTCGGCCAACAAAATAGTTAACACTTTACCTGGTTGATCAACGTCCTTCCAAAAATTGCAAAAAAAAATAATCCATCTTCTCGGTTGAAGTCGTATCTATTAGTTATTTTTCTATCTACGTGACTTTACCGAATGAACCAAAGAGTATTAATTCTTGCATCCACGAAAGCTTAAAATCAAGATAATTATATGTAGCTTTCTCTATCTTGCCAATATATGTCTTGACATGTATATATACACTTTTTTTAAGTTAAAGGTGCAGCCCTGAAATGGCGTGATCATGCCACCGCTGGTGGGCGGGCCTCCTCTATAGATCCCCTCGAGAGCGTAATTGGCCAAACGTCTTAGAAGAAATGGGAGTACCCACACTTAACCCCACCACACACAACCTGCCAATCGACTAACTGCGATGTAACCATCGGGTGTACAGAAATGTAAGAAACTTGCACATTACTTTAAACTACCACGGCGGGAAATCGAACCGGCGATCTCTGGATTGCAAGCCCAGTGCGCTAACCATTACACCACGGCAACTTCCCATTTATAAGTGCCCGCTTTAAAAATAAGGTCACTTGCCAACGCTGATAGGATAGTGCAGGGGAATAAAACAACAGCCCAGCCACCCTGATTGACACTTAATTGAGGCAATAGGTGAGTAAGTAGTGCATTTCTCACATTGCGATTGATTTGGAATGACTCCAGCCTCCGCCACTGTCACGTAATCAGTCTGTTCACCATCCCGCGAACGCATGTCGTGCTCACCTATCGTAACATGTAATTGTCACTCAGGCCAGTAGCCGCTGGTGCTGTGCACGCCTGCGATAAAGCCGGAGACATATCACACACGCAGTATGCCCGCCATGAATTA